AAAACGATATCCGGGACGATATCGTTTTTATGTCCCGCTGCTTCCTACCTGATAAAGGTACAAGTATGTGATAATATATATATATATATATATATATATATATATATATATATATATATATATATATATATATATATATATATATATATATATATATATATATATATATGATTTCGATATTTTTTGTTGAGTTTTTTTCTCAAGGTCTTGCTTACTTTATTTCCTTCCACTCGTGAGCTCACTACGTGATCATAGTAATCAAACGTAGTGTCCAGGCCTTGTGACCCTGGATGGACACTTAAAAGGAAGGAAACCACACTGTAAACGTGAAGAATTTTATTCATTATTGATATTAAAATTACATAGTCGTGTGGACACTACGTTTGATCACTATGATCACGTAGTGAGCTCACGAGTGGAAGGAAATAAAGTAAGCAAGACCTTGAGAAAAAAACTCAACAAAAAATATCGAAATCATATATTATGCTCGTTCGGGGTACCACGTTCTTGAGCACTCTATAGTTCATTGTATAGACTTATGCGCGCCTCGTACTTAGCGAGTGTTGCTGCTTTGTCGAATGTCAAACAAAGACATAAAAATATGAAATCTATTATGCTCGTTATTAATTTAACTAGAGCACTTTTAGTGCAATGATCTAATTGTTTACTTAAACACCTGTAACCTTATTGTTGGTGGCATAATTACCCTTCGTTTCTACCTGTTGCACTATGAATTGCCTAGAGTATATATAACTGGCAGACAACCCTGGTCTTACAATGCTTCTCCTAGGTTTGAAATAGTGTGCGAAGATGGGAAGAAATAGAAGAGGTCGTGGCCGTAGAGGAACGAACCGTACACACGACTATGTAATTTTAATATCAATAATGAATAAAATTCTTTACGTTTACAGTGTGGTTTCCTTCCTTTTAAGTGTCCATCCAGGGTCACAAGGCCTGGACACTACGTTTGATCACTATGATCACGTAGTGAGCTCACGAGTGGAAGGAAATAAAGTAAGCAAGACCTTGAGAAAAAAACTCAACAAAAATATCGAAATCATATATTATGCTCGTTCGGGGTACCACGTTCTTGAGCACTCTATAGTTCATTGTATAGACTTATGCGCGCCTCGTACTTAGCGAGTGTTGCTGCTTTGTCGAATGTCAAACAAAGACATAAAAATATGAAATCTATATATATATATATATACAATTTTTAAGATTAAATAAATATATATATATATATATATATATATATATATATATATATATATATATATATATATATATATATATATATATATATATATATATATATATATATATGAATGGGTGTGAGGTACCATGTCTGGATAGTGTATGAACTTGGCTTTGGGATTTCTTCAGACATAAAAATACACAAAGTATATTTTCCAAACGTTTCGCCTTTCACGTTTGGAAAATATACTTTGTGTATTTTTATGTCTGAAGAAATCCCAAAGCCAAGTTCATATATATATATATATATATATATATATATATATATATATATATATATATATATATATATATATATATATATATATATATATATATATATATATATATATATATATATATATATATATATATATATATATATATATAATATATATATATATAATATCATGTGCAATGAAAATAAACCAGGGTACATGCATGCATGCATGGACATCTATGGGTACATGAAAAGAGGTGCTAACTAAATTTGTGTTTTTGTGAGGTGAGATGAAAGTCAGTTTTCGGTCTAAATTCAAGCATCTCATCGATTCTTTTAATATGAGCGTAATGTTTCACAAATAAACGTTATAATGAATTATTTGCTCTTTTAATTAAGTGCTAAGTTGCAGAATACTGAAAGACTAAATCAAACATTTCCATGCTTTTCAGAGCGAGCAGTTCCAGGAAGCACAACTATTGCTGTATTTGTTGGTGGCACTGTTGAGTACGAAGATAACAAACCTAAGATTTTTTCTCAGAACTTTGTCCTTACTGCTGAAGGAAAAGTGTGGAAAGTTGTAAGCGATTGTTTCAGAATTACTACTTAGCTGTATGAACTTTCGCAGTATGCCAGACCAATGAAATATTTGGCATCGCATCAGTGTTGTGCACAAAGTGTAAATGTTTGGCTCCTTTTGTTCGACTCAATGTTCACACATTATGATGCAAACATCTGGGTTACGCGAAGTCACGAACATGTGAATTGGGCTGCAAACATTTTTACGGATCGACCTGTTAATTGCTACTTATAAAGCCCGTTTACACGGGCGATTTTTGCTGCGATTTTAGTTGCAATTTTCTCCTTTTGGAAGATGTGAAGGAGTGGATTACTCAATGATGTTATTATGCGATTTCATAACCTGGAACATTTTGTAACTCATCCACTCCTTCACATCCTCCAAAAGGAGAAAATCGCGCCTAAAATCGTAGCAAAAATCGCCCGCGAAACGGTCCTTATTTAAAACGGCGACACCGAATGACCATCATGCTAGTTATATTTCCTTAATAATAGGCTGTTCAAAGATCTTGTTTCCCACGCGCCCGCAATTAAGTATTTGATAATATACATTATCACAACTTCGCTTTTCATCCTCATTTTATGACCAAGCTAGATAGAATATGACGTCGGCTATAATTTCCTTACATGTTGTAATTTTTTAACAAACTATGTCATCCAATGACAGTTTTCTTTGTCTTTGGCCCAGATTCATGTATATTTGATTAAGCATGAAAGTACAGTATGCCATATGAGCAAACAAGATTCACGAATCAGCCTCTTTTATAAAATCAGACTGGCTCAAATTTCTACGTTTTATGAATTATGTAAATTCACGACTTCTCATATACGCATATATGTCAGGAATGGAAATTTGTGTGATTAAATTTAATTTTAAAAATTAATCAATACAAATTTTAATGTAGTTTGTTTCACCCCGTGTAAGAATGAGCAATCTTACATCAAAATTGATGAACGATATGGAGGTAAATCTTCTTATATCCTTTGCTTCAGTGCAAGTCATTGTTGGTTCAACGGCGAACTTTTTTGTGATCATTTTATTCGTAACAAGACGCGAGTTACGCCGTAAAAATTCAGATTTACTAATTCTACATGTGGCCTTAGCTGATTTTATATCGTTGACAACGTTTTTACCTTGGAATATTTATCTTACAAATTTGGGAAGAGGCGAATACTCTGAGTATTACACGTCTCTAAATACGTTCTGTTTGTTTTTAAGTGGCACGGCAGTATTGACCGTTGCTGTGGATAAGTTTGTCGCAGTGGTCTATCCGTTGAGATATGCAACGTTTATAACTAGGTCGAAGACATTGCTGATGATTACTGGATCTTGGCTTGTGGCAATAGCATTGGTCATCGCCCATTTCTTCGATTCCTTATCTGCGCGTGAACACCATCATGTACTGGATAAATCCCTCAGCGCTCTTGTTTTAGTAAAGATGCTTTTTGTTGTTTCTCTGTATACAGTGGTTTTCAAAGCCGTCAAAAATCAGTTATCAGCACATGCTGGGCGCAATATGAACAATTCAAATTCATTACAGATTACCTCAAAACGAGAAAAGGTGGAAAGTGTTTTTTTTAAATCTGCGTTAAATACATTCATTGTTGTCTGCTTATTTTACGCCACGTATTTACCCTATGCTGTACTTCAGATGATGTCCATTTCAGACTTCATGACATGGAGGAAATTATTTTCATTTATCTATATTAACGCATGCATTAATCCTTTTGTCTACTTCTTCCGTATGCGAAGATTTAGAATTGCACTACTCTATATTTTCAACAAAGGCAGACGACTTGATATGAACGCTAGACTTTTCTTATCAACAAACAAAATTTCCTCGACCGTTAACGGCTAGATACACGTCAGTATATATTACTTTAAATTGTTAACGAACTCTAATGCATGGAAATCGACTACTAAAGAAGCGGCAAGATGTACTGCATATATCAGTTTAAATCTGCACTTATAGATTCATAATTCATAATTTTTACTTACTTTGTATATAAGAGATTCTGTTGTCTTTTTATTTGAACATCTGGTCTGTGCAAGACTGCAACAAGCGGCCCTGGACAGCAAGGCCAGAAGTATTTTAATAATTTGTTGAACTCAAAAGCTGACATGCAATTTAATTCTGCCAATTTCTTTTTCTATCCTGATAATATACTTTGGCAAAAAAGTACGACTGAAAAACTACATAAAATGCCCCCACGGGAAAATCCATAAAAAGGCCCTGCTAGGACCTGTATTGTAACATTGAAAAGAAGTTTAAAAAACAAAATTTGTTGGTGAGCATACATAAACTTATGTTATGTTTGAATGTTTAGCATGCAATTTATTACAAATTTCACCATTAAAACTGTTTTGAGAAGCTGAGATTTTTTTAAATGTGTTCTCAGAATGCAGGAAATGCTATTTTAGAGATCCAAATTTTAAAAATTTCCTGGGAGGGCCGACATGCCCCCAGCTTCAACCCCTGCGGTAATCTGCTCACACCTTCGGCGATTATGCTGGGGGAGGGCAAGGAAAATGGGCCCTTTGGCACTTTTGCCCCACCACTGAAGAATCCTTAAAAAATGCACTGGAGCTCAACCTCGCTTTGCTCGTTGAGTTTCGGAAACTTATTTGGTTTATACAGTTTAGCATAAACTTGATGCATAATAACATGATTTCTGAGTATAAAGCAGTTTTGAGTTTTGCCTTTTGGATTATTTCCTTTGTCAGTATCGCTTATCACGTCGGCAAAGCGATGCCGACAAAGAGAAAAGTCGCTTCGCGTGAACACTGAATTCCGCCTAGTAGAAAACTGGCTTAAGAACACCACTTCGTGATTTCAAAGCCTGTATTTTACTTCTAACCCGCGCTATTACGATTACTATATACTGTAGCTTGTCACGTGTCACAGAAAATATTTAAAAACGAATAAAAATTATTTTCAAACTAATTGCGAAAATTTCGAAAAATTACCAAAGTAATTACCAAACATTTTCAATTACCAAATCTTCCTAAAATTACCAAAACAGGGTTCGTAGCGGTCTTTGAAATCCTTGAAAGTCTTTAAATTGGAATGCAGGTCTTTGAGGTCTTTGAAAAGTCTCTAAATTGTGTGAAAAAGCGAAGAAAGTCTTTAAAAGTCTTTAAATTCTTTAGTGAGGAATTGATTATACGATTTCCTAGCTAATAAAATAGATTGATTGAATCAAGATATTCGCAAATATCGACGAAAATGCGCATTTTAGGATGTGATTTGACGGGACTAATTACCGGGTAAAAATGGTGCTTACACTCGCAATTTTTCGACAGCTGATTGCTCTCAAAGGTCTTTGAAAATAGGCAGAAAAAATCTTTGAAAGTCTTTGAATTTTTTTGGTCTTGGAGACTACGAACCCTGCAAAAGTAACTTAAATTACCGTATCACACTGCGACTCGTATCATTCACTGCGAGGTTGAGCTCAAATTTCTGGAAGTCGTTTTGCTCCTGGCAATGTGAGACAAGATAAAATGCGTTACAGTGCGAGTCGACTTGCATGCAGTATATAAGTCTACCAAAATACCAAATCCTAAAGGGCTGTGTTCATTTGAGCTGAGATGAATCATGTCACGAATTTTTTTCCTGACCATAAAAGATCGTTTGAAATGTAATTTTTGATGTTTATCAATTAGAGCTTTATTAGACGAATCATGTCATGCAGTTTACCAGATCAGCCCGGCTCCATATGAACACTCCCTAACCATTTAGCAGAATTTAAAATAACCGAAAACTGACTAAATCACAGCAAAAACTGCGACGAAAGGCTGTGAAAGGTTCTTCGACGTAAGCTTCTCAATGAAAGAAAAGAGCGCGCATTTGCTGCGAATGCCAAAAGAACACCTCAT